TAGAACTGGACATTTTTCCTCTCTTGGATGTACAGTGGTGCTCATAGACTTAAGCCACAAGACTTCAACCAAGAATTTAAACGAAAATTAAGAAAAGTTTTTAATTCACAGCTTCAATTTTTTGTGTCACATTAGTTCTACATATCAGTGTTCTAATAGAAGAAAAACCAAGTTATAAAAATATATATTCAACGAAAAACTTAAAAAATCTGAGACCATCTCCAAAATGACCTGCTCACATACTTGAGCCACCTGGAAAAAATGATTGAAAAAGTTAAAATTTGCCCAATATTCCTTATACTTTTAATAAATTTACTTCAATACTGAGTGGGATGACCTTTCTGCTTAAGAACAGAGGAGCAACGCTTTGGCATTGAATCCACAAGACTTGGGCACTGTTGAGGGGTGATTTTCTTCCACTCTTCTTCCAAAATTCACCACAAATCCTTTTTATTTGCTGGTTTTGGCCAACGACTTGCTTAAGAATTCCCCACAAGTTCTCTATAGGGTTCAAGTCGGGGCTCTGCGGTGGCCATTGCAAAACATTGATTGCTGGTGTGCTTCGGGTCGTTGTCCTGTTGAAATATCCAGGCAAGTGGCAAATTATCGGCATATTCTCCAGATAAATTGTTAATAAGGATGTCCCTGTACATTTCGACGTTCATAATGAACGGACCTACGCCCGATTCGGTGAAACAGGCCCAGACCATAATCGAAGCGCCACCATGTTTAACGGTCTTCTTCGAGTATTTGGGGTCCAATTGTTTGTTGGGAGGACGTCGTACATATGGTTTACAATCACTCCCAAAGACATTAAACTTGGATTCGTCGCTCCAAACAATCATGTTCCAAAAATTGGGACCTTTTTGAATATGCTCTCTGGAGAATTGAAGGCGCTTTTTAACATTTTTAATGGACAGCAATGGTTTTTTTTGGGCAATGCGTCCATATAACCCGAATTCATTTAGCCGTCTTCTTATGGTCTGATCTGACACATTCACGCCATAATCTGCCACCATTTGACCTCTGATTTGCGTCGAAGTCAAGAACGGATCGGCTTTACTGATTTTGGCGATCCGTCTATCGTCGTTTAAAGTGGTTTTTCTGTGCTTTTCACGTGGAATATTTTCCCAGGTACCATGTTTCTTATATTCCCATATTAGCTTTCTTTCGGCCGGATTTTTATTTTTATTTTTAGCCATAGCGGTCAAATTGTTTTGGGAAACGTTTTTAGTATTCAATATTTTAGTTTAGAAAATAACTAGTACAACTTTCAAAATGCAAAAAAGTTATTAAGAAAACAGTTTATGGTAGTGGCGGTGGCTTAAGTCTATGAGCACCACTGTATGTAAGAGGGAACAGTCGCGACAAATTTCATGGGTTGGTTTGCAGTGTTGGGCAAAATGGCCAAATCTAAAACACCTGAAGCATTGGCTAAATGGAACAAATAGTTCAACCTTAACTTTGGCATATAGGAAGATAACCTCCTCCGGAATTTGTGCACCCTCAAAGATTATTTTAACCCTGAAAGTAGGTATCATATCTTTGTTTTATTTTTTTCTGTTTACTCGGATAATATCAATGATGGGAACTGGCGATGAAATGAATTCTTTTAATTCAGTTAAGGAAAATTTTGTGGGAATTGGAAAAATGATGCCGGTTTTGCAAAATGAAATGTTTTAATATTTTGGGTTCATACCCATATTTTTTTAAATTTGATTTTATTAAATCATTAGCTGCTTTCGCTGACCTGCATTCGCCTTTGCAGCGCCCGTAGCCAATTTTGTTCAGTTTTAGATTAAACAGAATTACATTTAGTTCTAATGCATTAATTGCTTTCCTGTTTTGTCTATTGAAGTTGTCACCGTTTTCCGTCATTTTGTCGATATATACCATATATGGTCCTTTATGGTTGCGTGGGTAAAAAAAGGTTAAAATACCTGCATAGACTTTTCCTTATTGCTTGCGTTTGCATTGTCATAGCCGTTGTTATTCTCCATGTCATTTTCCTTCTTTTTGTTAGTCTCATATGAATCCGTTTTGTTCTCTGGTTTCCGCATGTTCCATCCCTGTACTTACTTCCATCTCTTTATTAACTTTGTCTTCGTTTGGTCTCCTTTTTTTTGAATTGTGGTAAGTTTAGGGCGTTTTGTAATAGCTGCATATAAGCTCAAGGGATTACCCTTGGCTGATTACGCCAGTTTTTGTTTAAGGGGTTAAATCCCCGTTTTAACCTTTTTTTAACTTTTCTGCAGTAAGCAACAAATTAAAAATAACATTTTTAAATAAATTGAGTGAAATAAGTTGGTTGAAATGTTGTGTGGTTGGTCAGGTTAGTTTTAGATCACTTGTTGTAATTTATAGTTTAAATTTTTGAAGAGCACGTGATTTTCTTCGCCGGACTGTAGAATTGAAGTGTTTGAAAAATGTTGTTTGAATACAATACATACGCACCTTGCAGACAGCATTTTCCCTGCACAATGGTCCAAAATGGCAAATTAACATTGATTGCAATTAAGTGTTAATATTTTAAGGGCCGATTTGGTGGGCCAAATATTTTGGAATGGAGCCACTGTACGCGACACACTCGATGAATGCATTTGAGTGGCTGCAAGCTTTTTGACTGCCCCTTGCCAGCAAAATGTCCACCCTGCAGCAACGGTGCAATCGCCTCCTCCAGATATTCAACGATTTAATTGAATCCTATTTTCGCATTTGCGAAAATGAACCGAGCCTGGAGAAAGTGGCTGCCAGGGCTGGGCAGTCAGCTTTCAAAAAGTTTTGGAGTCAACTGAAGAACGAAGTGAAAGCGGCGAGAAACCCTTCCAGCAATAAGTCACCGCCGTCATTTTGCTGCAGCATCAGGCAATGGTGTCGAGGAAGAAAAAATATTGTTTTTTTTTATTTTGTATGGTTTTTTTGTTTTAATTATTTGTTTGTTTGTTTTAATACATTGGCGAATCAGTTCAACTTAAAACAAGAGAGAACGCTATAGTCGGGTGCCCCGACTATCAGATACCCGTTACTCAGGTAAAGGGAGTGCGAGGGAGATGGAGATAGAAACTTTGATCACGCATAACTTTTTAACGAATGGTCCGATTTGAAAAATTTCTACATTTCGATAGGTATTGATAAACACAATAAAACTGCATTTTTACTTTTCCGAAATATTTAAATTTTTAAAATCGTATATAAACGATTGTGGGCGTTAAAGGGGGCGTGGCACCTTTTTGAAACAAACTTGCGCTGCGTAGGAACTCCTAGAATCTGCATGCAAAATGCCAATCTTCTAGCTTTTATAGTTTCCGAGATCTCAGCGTTCATACGGACGGACAGACAGACGGACATGGCTATATCGACTCGGCTAGTGACCCTGATCAAGAATATATATACTTTATAGGGTCGGAAACGCTTCCTTCTAGCTGTTACATACTTTTGCACGAATACAATATACCCTTTTACTCTACGAGTAACGGGTATAAAAAGACTAGGTTTCAGGTTCTAGTCCTCTTAAAAATAACATTATCTTTTCATTTTCATATAACAATCAAAATTTAAATGTTGTCTTTTTTTAACATAACTAATTTTTCGAAAAACTCGTCCCCCAGCTTGTTTCGTTTTGGGTTTAGAATTTGACCTCCACAACTAAATAATATTGCAACTGGCGCTGAGCTGGGCAGACCTTTATTGTATTTTAGAAATAAATCCAAAATGCGTTTATATTTATGTTACGCTGTTAAATTTGCGTAATGCTCAACGTTAGATATTGGTAACATCTCCCCCACGATGTAGTGGCACACTTTCTGATTGATTTGCAAATATTTACATAAACACACATTATTATATATTGAGTTATTAAGTTATTAAATTTTGTCATTAATGTAATTACCAGGGCTGAACTCAGGGAACAAAAAAACGATTTTCAATTTTCCTTAGAAAGTTCCATATTAGTCTTAGTTTTCTTGGCCTCTTACTCCGTGTAACTGCTTGGATGAAGAAGAGCTTTTTAAATTAAGTCAAATTATTTAGAAATATATGCTTGAATAATTGTGTGTATATATTTTTAAAACTCACGGCATGAATAAATGTATGCACAGTGATACGTGCATTAATGTATTTATGAAACCCTCTTGTACATATTTCGGCGCGCAAAAATTCCGTATGTAGAAACATTTGACTATATATGTATTGTGCATTTGTATATGCTGTATGTTTTTATTATTTTTGTGCAAATTATTTCCCAAATTAACAAAACTAAATTACTTTGCTTTGGCAAGATTAGCCAGAAAAGAGGAGAATAGCAGAAAAAATGTAAGTTTTTATTTATGTCGCTATTGGTTAAATGAGAGAGAAATTTCTTTATATAAAATATATATATTCTTGATCACCATCATGCGAGTTAACATAGCCATGTCCGGCTGTTTATATATACCATTTTCGAACGCAGTTTAAAAGCTAAACACTTGAAACTTCCGCAATCGTCTTCCGTACGTCGTTATCAAATACAAAAGGAACAAACGTGTCAAAATTGTTAAATTTGCTTTCTCGAGTTTTATCAATATCGGACGACTATATTCTATAGCTTTCATATATCTTTCATACTACCGTATATGCAGTTTATTTGCGCAGTGTCAAAGCTATAACACAAAACCAATGTGATCAAACTACATATACTTTTTTTCTTTTCTAAAATTATGCGTTGCTATACCCTTGCAGAGGGTATTAAAATTTTGGTCAAAAGTGTGCAAAGTTAACGTATCTCCAATTTTGATTTAGTTGAAGGTAATCAAACTAAACTTGGGGGTTCTTTGGAGTTTAGATATTATAGCGGCATAAAGTTTTGGAGTAAAACGGCTATATCTCTAAGGACGATTTAAAGGTACACGTATAATGATGAATTCGTTAGGAAAGACTCAATTTGCTTTAAAGCTGTGTATTGCAATTGAACTTTGTATAAATTTTACCCGCAAAACTGCATCCGACCCGAGTTCAAATGTCTGTTCAAATTAGATAATTTATTGAATAGTTTAGGACTAATTAAAACAATTTGAGTGTATCACAAGCTTAATTCTAGCCACATAGCTGCCCAATTAGACTGGGAACAGTTCGTTGTAGGTGAAGTTTTCCAGAATTTTAGACGTGATGACCTTGAAGTTGGCCTCGAGAGCCCGGGCAATTGGTGCGATCAGATCGTTAGTGAAGACCTCGAAATTTTGGTTGATCGTGTCATTAATGACATCGCCCAGCACCTTATCTCCATTGAAAAGGTTCTCCAGCTTCAGATTTCCCTTGCCAGTGCGGATCTTCAAAGCGAACTCCTTGACATTCAGGTAGTCCAGATCATTAACGGTCTTGATATCATATTGAACGCGAACATAAGCCACAAAGTTGGTAAAGTTTCCAGTGAATGGTCCACTACCTTTGATGGGAAGTGCCAGTATATTGCCATTGATTTCGTAGAGCCCTTCTCCGTGGAGATGTGGGAGAATCAACTCGAAGTCGAAACGACGATTTTGGGTGGATGCTCGCAACTTAGTGATTTCGAAGTTCGAGGCCCCCAGGATGTTCATTTTCTTGGCTCTAACCGTGAGACCACCGGAGCCATCCAAAATGTTGAGGTCTCCAATATAGAGGGGCTCTAGTGGTGGGACGTTTAATTCCTTAATGCCTTTGGCCAAATAGGGTCGCAGATTGTGGACACTTCTCTTCAGGCACTTTGAAAGCTCGGGATCATCGCGGTGGCACACCTGGATATAGTCAGCTTTGAAGAACAAATTAGGTAAGTTGCTGGAAGTACTGATTGGCACATTCTTTCTACTCACGCATGGTGGCAGCTGAGCTGCAAGCCACGAAACAAATCATAAGAGCGGCTAGGATAAGTAAGGAGTGCATTTTTCTTCTTTGGGTTCAATAAATGCTGTAGAAAGATATGGAATGTTAATGTTAATTGCACATTTTACTAATACAGTTTTATTGACGTCAAAGTTCGCTGGAAGGGGTTTATTAACCCCCGGCAATAATTCAAGCCAGCCAACCCACCCTTAAACGATCCACCTCCCATTTATATTAACATCTGAGCTTATTGATTATAGGTATTAAGTCGTTGCGACGCAGTCTAATAAATGGAAGTCAGGGGACTGACTGTCAAATTACTGTCATTTGCTATCTGGTTTGTCGGCAATTTGATTTTAATTGATTTTGATATGGAATTCATAGAGACCCTATAAATGATCGCAAAGGTTAAATTAAAAGAAAATATAAGTTATTGTTGCCAAGGGAAAACGGAACAATATCTTTTGTTCTAAGTAATTTTGTTAACGTTTTTGGACAAAAAACAATATTCCCTAAAGTTTCAAAAAAAAAGTATAAGCCGTAAGAATAAATTAATTGCTAAAGTAATTTGATGTTGACATTTTTTTAAAACAGATATTATTTGGTTAAAAAAAATGTTGTACCCCACCTTGAAATTTTTGCAAAGCCTTCTAGTTTACCTAAGGGCAGAACTATTCCAATAAGTTGAACTTAACTATTTTAATATTTATTCGAACTTTCAAAACGTTTTGATTCTTGACTCCCGTTTGCAAATGTTCAAGGATACACCTCAGCCTTGAAACTTACACAAGTTAGCAGAGATTTAAATTTTATTTGCAATTATTTGTTTTGGCACTGGTTTGTTATCTTTTTATAAACTGTCGAAGGCTGCTCAACGTTCTCGAGCTGTCAGAGCCGGGTGTTGTTTTAGTAACCGTCAACGGATCGTACTGAATGCTAAATTGCTGAGACCGGCGTGTTTTATAGCAAAAAGTACGCTACGATTTACATGAGAGCTCGAGCTCGAAAACACACGACGTAGAACTCGCACGCCCCTGCCACGCCCCTCAGACGCCCCTTCCCCCAGACATCGGCAGGTAAGCTTAAACAACTAGAAAGAGATGATGAACTATTTATAGAGAGGGATGGAAAGAGAGGGCGGGAAAGACGCTAAGCAGCCACTGTTTAATAATAATAATAAAGGCTGTGGCGATTTCATCCGCAAAAAGTGGCTCGGTGACAAACCCAAAGCTGCCCCAGACGATCGGGAAAATTGGCAGTTGGCCGGGAAAATGCAGACCGCAGCTTAAGCCGGAAACTAATACTATAACGCTGACGCTGACCCCCAAAATGATTCTCCCAGAATTTGCATTTGGAAAAACTATTTTTATTATTGATGGCAATGTAGTTGATGTTTTGGCGATGTTGCATCTAATAACATTTAATCTAATAATCTTTAACTATGAAAATAGTTCTTGTAGCGTAACTTATTTCATTTATTATTTGTTTTCACATGCTTTAATTATTTTAGTTTTTCTGTCATTTCTTCTTTTATAATTCTTAACTGGTAGTAGCGCGACATATACCAATGCCTACAAATAATTTAACTTGAATGCTTAATTTAACAGCCAATACAGTACAAAATGCAACAACAGAAAGTACGGTCGGTACTATAAAATTTATTTGATTCAACCAACCAGATTTATAAAGGGATTTAATGATTGTAGTCGTCCGATCACAATTATCTGTCTCTTATAACTCAAAGTGTGTCGCTGCTAATGCAGTTAGACATTGTTTTGACTATCGGGTCGGAAATACTGCTACATTATTTTGCAATATTCTAAATATATTTTAAACCCCGAAAAACAAATCTTGAGTTTCTAAGGGCATATTAACAATGACATGTCAAGTTTCTACAGATTACAAACATGACCATGACATTGTGAAATTCTTTGCAACCCAGCTTAATTATTTGATGTTGCTAAGCCAACAGTTTAAAAAAGGAGGAACGTCATGCGGTTACGTAACTGTCAAATCTCAATAAGTAGCTAAAGCCTGTGCTTCGTTTTATAATAAACATTTACGAAACGCAACAATTGATTAAAAATTGATTAAATAACAAAAGACATATTGTTTTCCAACCCACTATATGTATGTGGCGAACAAAATAAAATTCTGAAAACTAATGAGTTGTTTTCTTCCGAGAGGGGTAACCGCAGTTAGTGAGGGGTCAGGCCGCTTGGCAGTTAAGCCCTGGCGTCCGGAACAGTAGCAAGGGGCAGGGAGGGGCTGGGGCAGGGGCATGAAAGATCGTTCTGGCCGCTATCGTGCCTGTCGCAATTACGCCACGCGAACATCTTTGATGGAGAGTCGTGTGTTGACAGTCTGCCAACTTTGGAAGTTGTGCAGCCAGCGGATTGCATAATGGCGCTCCCCCGGCGAAAAGCTTTTCCCAACTCGGAATCTGTGAGGACAGCTGGAGCTGGTTCGATGCGGAGACTGATTGTGGCGGTAAATTGGCGAAATGCACGCAATTCGGGAACCAGCCAAAGATCATTTTGTCGGTATCATCCCAGTGATAGCTGGATTAGATAAGTTAAGGTGTGCTCAGATGTTTGTGTTGATAGTTTATGCTTCCCGTTGGTCATAAGGAGTTGGTCTAACTATTATTTGGGATTTATCCTTATGGAGATAAGCTAATGGATCAGAAATATAATATAAGCACAATGCTTATTAAATCCAGAATAAGTAGGCAAACAGTGACGTTGGTAGAGAGGATCTAAAAATCGGCGAACCAATCTTTCTCGGTTTGGCATTCGTTTTTGCAATGGAGCTCTTTTTAAATAAATGTAATTATTTTTTATATATTACGAAAGCGAATTCAAACCCACAGTTATATAGTTTTTGAAGCGCAAGCTTGTCTAACTCCTGCAATTGACGAACCCTTTCTCCACATTGCCCAACATTTCAAAGGCCTTGAATTAGCGTGACATGCGGGAGCAGCTAACGTGCTTTTAATAATACCTGCGATCCCAGCTGCCTCTAATGCCGCTCTGATGGGCTGAATGACTTTGATGATATGGTGACCAGTGGCTTTGGTTATGCAGCAGCAATTTTGAGAAGATGCCATAACAGATCGACTTTACTTGGTTTATTTAGCTTGAACTGTGTGCAATAAATTAGGACTTAGACTAGGGAAACTACAATCTAATTCAGGTTGATCCACTCGTCCAGCGGGATCTTTGCGAAGATGCGATCCATGAAGTTGCGGATGACCAAGGTGAGCTTGGTCCTGAGCGCCGGCTTCATTTCCTTGAGCAGCTCCTGGGAGTTGGAGTTGATGAACAGGTTGAGGGCAGCCTCTGTGGAAGGATTTTAGTTTTTTGGTTTATGTAAAAAGTGTATCATCAATTCATTAAACGATGCGTATCTTAACCTTGTTTATAGTTTATAAACTATGTTGATATTTTTAAAAGAAAGTGCCATTTGATATCATTAAAGCTTATATTAGAATCTTGTGCAGTCACAGGATGAAAGTAAAATGAACAATTTAAAATGTATCGCTTGGATATATTGAATAATAATAATAATAATAATAATAATAATAATAATATCATTGCTTAAACACATAATACTTACGTATGACGGAATTGCCATTGGCGATGTTGTCCACTCCCATTTGGATCTCCTTCACGTTGAAGTCCATCTTGACAGAGTCCGTCGTCAGATAGGTGCGTCCATCGGGGCCCTCGTTCGCCACCGCCTTGAAGTAGATCTTGGCCTTGACGCCCTCTGCGAGATCGAGAGTCATTAGTAGTGCGTCATCCCGCCCAGAGGCCCATGTACCCACCATACTCCCCCCAGTAGTCGCCCGCCCCGGAGGCCTTCACCAAGATCAGAACACCTGTGGATCGGTACTGAGCCTTGACGCGAATCCGAGGTATTTCGCACGTCAGCTGGAACTGCAGCGAGTCCAAGTCGGAGCTGCAAAAAAGACACGTTGAGATCTGGGCATTAATGTGCGCCTCTCATGGCAATGACAGTGACAATCTTCGAAGTAATGAGCCTAGCGAAAAACTGCCATTTCATCCGTTTCATCGGAGATGAGCCGACGATTTTTGTCGCATCTTTTTTTAGCCTTGAACTCTCTTAAATTTTAAATTCGATGCCAAATAGAATACTTCAAGTTCGGTTAGAACCAGTAGTTTTGGAAAAACTAAGCTAAGAAGCTAAGAATGCAAATTTAAATACTGAATACCCTTGCAGTACTGTCTTCGGGTCAATATGTTAAAGTAGCCAATACTTTAAATAATAATTAAAAACAATAGTTCTGACTTTATTTTAAAGCTGTAAAATAAGCGTTTTTTGGTGAATCGATCTTTAAATATCAAATATTAATTCAATCAAAAAACAGGAGTATACGTTTTTTATTAAATAAATTAATTGTTTTAAAATCGGACAAGCTGATCAACAAAAACAAGGATAAATAGGTATATATATTTGGAATATGTTAATATATTATTAAATATAACAAATATTTTGGCATTCTGAGAAAATTGCTTTGAGATTTATCTTTGCTATAACAATTCAAAATTAGTTAAATACAAAAAAAGCTGGTTAAGAGTTGAATGAATTTCGATTAGTTTAGAGCTACTTGCAGGAATAGTTTTGAGTACTCTTTGTCAGGGTAAAAAGCCACAGAAAACGAAACCGATATCGGAACCGGCCCAAAGACTGCTCTCCACTTATAGTTGGCCCACTTTTCTGTCTCGTTTCTTGGTCAACGATCTGTGGGCCTTTGCATTTGTTAATGTTCGTTTGTCTGGCACTTGGCGTGGATTCTTTTATTTTTCGCCAATGGAGTGGCAAGTGTCTATGGCCAAATTGATGTTGTTTCTGCTGCTATTGTTGGTGGACTTGTTGTTGTTCCAAATACCGGAAAGTTAAGCTAAAAGTGTTCTTGGCTTTGGGTGTTGCATAATTCAAGAGCCGTATAAAACCAGAGGCCGTCGAAGAGTAGGCCAAATTGTAAGAGAGGAGCTTCTTTGAAATGTTTATTAAAATAAAATGTTGTTCTTGAATTCAAAAACTTACAAGATGAGACATAGTTTTACCCCACGTTTTAAAAAATAAATAAATAGTAACTACCTACAAGTTGTCTAACTTAAACTTACCGCAAGTCGTCAATAAAGAAGATTATTTGTCGGCCAATAATTGCCCATTGCCTTTTCTAGGCTGATTTCCCCGCTGTACAGAACTTCCCACACAACTGAATTAATCGAATTTCTAGCGAAACATTTACATCTGTTAATATATCTGACTATTTCCAGATAAAAATTGGCTTTGAGTTTCTAGAATAAGTAGAACCAGAATGGGCAAACACTTTATTGCGAATAATTACGCGTCAAAAATATATTTTATTAAAAATCCCGGGCGGATGCAAATTGATCTGGGCAAACATAAAACGTTCAAGTAGAAGTTGAAGAACCATTGAAATGCAAATCGCCTATTGCTCAATAGATTTCCCAGCGTGTGCCAAACGTTTGGTCCATAAATCAAGACTATGAGCTATGGGGTATTCACGAGGCTATGACAAACCCCGCCAAATGATTGGAAACTGCGCTCATTCAAATAAACTCCCACGATGTTGACCAAATGCTAAGTGGCGATCGCGTGCTGGGGACTCTGATTGAATGGCCAACTGACTGATTGACTCACTGGCCGATGGACTGGGCGGTTAGGCAAATGAGCAGCCAACTAAATTATACTAACAAGCGGATCGAAGCCTTTTTTTTAATAAAACATTGAGACTCTTAAATGCAGTCTTCCTCCACTTTGCTGATTAAGACAAAGGATGTCCATCTTACCCTCGTTCAAATTGATTGGTTGCAGATGTTGGAGGAAAAAAACGACTTGTTAGACGAGTTTTAAAATTAAAGATAAAA